GGGTTTCGCCGCCGTCCCGCGCAGGCGATCGCCACGGGCACCTTTCCCGGTTGCAGCGCGGAGCCGCCGGAAGGGGCCCTGGGTGGCACTTCCGGGCCGGGCAGCGGCGGCACCGCGGCTGGGCCGGACCGGAGCGACTCCTCGGACCCCCCGCGCCCCCCGCGCCGCGCCCCGACGGACAGCCCGGCGCCACCATGATCACCTCGGCCGGTGAGGCGGCGGCGCGCGGCCGCGCTTGCTCGCCGGGGTTTCGCTGAGTCAGGGCCGTGACTGGGCACCGCCGCGGTTCGGCGGGGCCGCCCCTCACGGGGCTCAACCGGCCCGGGCACCCACGAGAGCCGCCCTGCGGTGCGGCACGGCCGTGACCCGCCGGTGCCTCACGAGGGCTCCGGTACCCGTGCGAGTCCCGGGCGGTGCGGGGGGGGTTGTGAGCAGAGGATGTGAAGGGAGGGCTCGGTGATTCCAGGGGACACCGCGCGGGGGGTGTGAAACCGGGGGGCTCTCAGGGTCCACGGGAGGTGCGGCAGGGACTGAGAGAGGGAATGGGAAGGACTTGGAAGAGTTCGGGAACGCGAATGCCTCGCGGAGTGAGTGTCAGTCCCGAGAGGACGGGATAATGAGGCGAGTGAGGAAGGAGATGTTACACACCGTGGGCCTACTGAGAGCTCGAGAGTTTGAGAAAATACGGGAAGTATTTCCAAAAAATACTCAGACCAGGAATTAACCGTGTGTGGTTGTGGCTCTGCCGGAGGAACAGTGCAGAGGACAACAGTCCCCAAGTGCCTTTCTCTTTCTGAGCCCTTTTCTTTGTTTAACTGCTACTTTTAAGTGATGGGAAGTAGGAATTCATTTTGGAGGGGCTTTAAAAAAATGTAAAAATGGCATATTGAAGTGAGATGTGTAGGCAGTGTGTGAGAGTGAGATCGCTTCCTCCTGATAGATCAGGAACGCAGGAGCTTATTTAAAATAAAAAAAATTTTAAAAATCACAAAAACCCTCAAAGCAAACGTTTGGAGTAGAGTTTCAGAAAGCAGCTGGAAGGAGCACTGTGGGCTGGGCTGCTGAACCTGCCTTCCCTGCCCAGAAGCCCCATTGGTGCTCCTTCAGTTGCTGTTACTGATGGACCTATGTCTCACCTGGTTTTTAAAAGATATCTTTTTTTAAAAGATAATGGAGGCTCTGTGACCTTGATAGGCAAAGTGCATAACTGTGTTACGGTGAGAAGACTTTTCATGCCATCAAACCTTGTTCTGTGAAGCTTCACTAAAGCTTGGTCTTACTCCTCCTGTTCATATCTGACACAAAGGTCAGATTATTCCCTTCCCCCAGCTGCCCTGTACCTGGACTCTGCACCTTTCCCAGATTTCCATAGACCAACCAGTTCCAAGCCTCCAGCCACCCTTCGGGAGCTGATTCCCAGAGCTCCCTGTTCTTCCTGCCCAGCTCTGAACTCCTGGCTTTGCTTGTGACTCTCACGAGATGGTGCCCAGCTCTGGACACGGGGCTGGGCTGGGAGGTGGTGCCAAGGGGAGGGAAGGTGCCTCAGGGATCTGCCAAGAACTGCTCTCACTTACACATCTGTGTGAGAGTTGTCTTCTCCTTCTCCCACTGCAGCCAAGTGATATCATATATCATGTTTCATCTTAACCCTCTCTGCTGTTCGTATTCTCTGTTTGTACATTTTAGTTTGGACCTGCACATGATCATTTTAGATTTGTCAAGATCTTTTGAAAGCCCAGTTCAACCCATGGCCCTCCAGCCTTCCCAGTTTCATGTCTTAGATTTAGAAGGTCCTCAAGCTGTACAACAGATAAAAGATTTAAAGCACTGAATTGGGTTGGACTTTGATCAAATTCTCTTTTGACCCTCTCTGTTGCATCCTCGCAGTCTGACAGTGAAACCACCCAGAACCATTCTTCAGATTAAGCTCCCGAAATATCTGTGAACCTCTCAGTCATGTCAGTTAAACAGTATTTCTGTAGATGTTTGTACAAATGTTCTGGGACAGCATCAGGAGTCTTGCAAAAGGTATGAGGTGTGACATCTCTTATCCATGAGGTCTGCTGCCTTGGCATGAAAACATTCTCTGAG